GTGTCTCTGTGTTGAATCAATACCATAAATGATGCATGCTGTTGGCTATTTAGGAGGGTTTGGGGGAAAAAAAGGAAAAAAAAAAAAAAAAAAGGCACCTTATTGCTTTTAGTGCTAATTGTATATTTATTATGCTAAACCATAAATCTGTTTTACCTGACATTGTACTCAGGCATCAATAACTCATGGCTTGGAATTCAAGGTACTACTACTAAAATTTCTAAAAATATTTTAATGGATGACTTACAACTTAAACAACTTAGTCTCCAAAACTAAGTGGGTATTGTTTCTTGCTCTTCAGCTCATAAGAACTAGTTTTGCGAGATACTAAAAAGAATTTAAATCCAAACTCAACATCCTAGAATAATTGACAGAAGAAAATTCAACAAAAAAGCTTGCCAGTACTGATTATTTTCAGTTGATAAAGATCATTCATTTACTCAAAATAAATAGGCGTATTTATCAAATGCTAATTAACTGCTTTTTAATTTTATCTTCTTTCTTTCTTCCTATTTTTGCCATTCTCTTTTAGCATTAATATGCAAAACAGCAGATGTTTTTTTTTTTTTTATGAGATAAGTACAAAAATAGTGGCTTGGGAAATCAGTTTATAGGCACTCTCAGAGGTATAATAGGAAGCCCTATAAAAATTAAAAAAAAAAAAAAACTGGGAAAGGAATTAAAAAGGCTATCTTAGCTAGTTTTATTGAAGAGGAAAATATGTCAAAGAGAAGTCAAAGAACAGTCCGTGAATATTAAGATTACTGTGACCTTGACCTGTTCAATGTTCATAGTTTTATTGTAAAAAGTTTTTTCACTTATTTGGGTTATAATTTTGCAGTTATTTCCTAGGATAATATATAATATTAAATATCAGAAAGTGCATGTGTGTACAGAATGACAAAATTAGTGATATCTATCTGAGAAGTTTGCACTGAATTTGAGAATTCAGTGTTCACCTTTCACTGCTGGAATACTTCATCAGTTGGAGGAAAATCAGGGACCTTCTTGTAAATATGTAGAATACTAAATATTGTAGAATACTAAGGAAAGGAGACTTGAAAACTTTGACACAACTTACCTCTAAAACATACAATTTAAGGTGTTTGGAAACATTATTGCTTTTTAAAATGCAATTTGCATTTTAATGCAAATCTTTAATGCAGTTGCAAGATTGGTAAGGTATCATCTAAGAATATAAGAATATTTAGAGTTGTGCTTCTGCCTATTTGAATATTGACATCAGTCAGACACTCTTGAAGGTTTAGTCAAATAAAGGAGAAAAATATTCCTCTTTGACTAGTCCTCCAGTGATCTTCATTGTGATATGACTGGGTCAAATAATAAAACATATTTATAGAGTAAATACATGTCTTGAGCTGTTAGATAATACTCAATTCAAAAGCTTTTACTACTTGTTTCAAAATGGAAATGTGAAGTATGCCATTATTGGTTTTGCTAACAGAAGTAGCACGTACATAGAAGTGGCCAAAGTCTTCAGAGAGACTTGGGTAAAGGACTTGTATGTGAAACATCCCACCTCACCCCACCCCTCAGCATTTATAAGACTATGTGATATCAGATCTAAATACAGGGTTCCATTTGGTATTGGGTTTTATTTTGTGAAGACTTTGAGCCACTGTTCACACATTTCAGCATGAATCACTTGTGAAAGTTTTTCAGGAACACAAGGGACAAATTATTTTAAGAAAAGAAGCAAGGTCAGAGAAGGACAGAAAAAAAATGAAAAACCTGTACCTCAATATATTGTAGACGTTTCTCCATTCAGTGATACTGAAGCATTTTAATATTTCATCAGATCCCAAATGGAATCTATCTTAGTATGAGCAAACCGCAAGTAATGATTTATTTATATGCAAGGCATCTTAAGAGCAAGGTGTCTAAAAAAAATTGTCCTGTTTACTCAAGGTTGTTGGCAGGAGTAACGTCTATGAGATATTGCTTCCTTCATTTGAGCATGGAATAGAAAGAGCCTTGTGGACATAAATTCAGCCAGTAAGGTTAATTTAGTGATAAGCATTAACATTTAGTGCCAGATTTTCCATAAAAGAAAATTTCCAGAATTTGTTTCATAGGCTTACAGTCTTCTGCAAAACTTCACTAGCATTATCTTCATAAGACAGGTGTAGCAAAAGCCTAGATTATTTCGTTCTCCTCACATTAGACTCTCAAACATTAATTTTTTCATCTCTGTCCTTATGTGAGGGCTAGTCTAGCCCATTCTTCTTTTCCAATCAGGAGCTTTGCAGTAATTTGCAAAGTAATGCAATTAAAAAAAAAAAAAAAAAAATTAAAACTGCCTTTATTTTATTTTCTTTGACAGAAGCCTTTCTAACTCCTGTAGCATCAGAATAATTGGTTTGGTAGTTGACAGTGATGTAAACTTGACTTATTTTCCTACCACTGTCAAACATTAGACTCTGCTACTCATATTATCAGTGCAGCTGGCTCAGAAACGCTTTCACTGAGAGTGTTACATGTCAGCAGTTTCTGTATCACTTTATGTTAAGATAGTTTTGACTTGCCAGCAGATCAGACCAAGTACATCTAGAGCAAAAATGCTTGTAAGAACTGTTGTAAACCAAAAAGTTTTGTGGCTCAATGGAAGAAGTTGACTAATTCCTGAGAGAAGTAAACAGTATCTACACTCCAGAAAAAACTATGGCTTGGAGGCATATTCTGAATGACAATAACTTAACGTTTACAAATTATTACTTTATATTTACTTACCCTCATAACAAGAGTATAAGACCATCATTGTTCTGCAATCGGACATACAGTTTATAGTCAATATCATAGAAAATAAGGCTGGAAAAGCCTTGAAAGAATATCTAGTTCATCATTTTGCCCAGAGATGGATTCAGCAGTATCAAACTTAGGCATTTACCTGGACTGTAACATCAAGAAAACTGCATATTGCCTTTGCAATGCTGACAGACAAGTTTGCTGTTTTGTTCATTTAGAAAGAATTTTCTACTCAATTCCTACTCTACTTTCTGTGTATTGGGTTGGTTCACCTATAGTTTACCTATAAACTTTATTTTTCTACATGATGCAGTCAACTTTTGGTTATCTATAGACGGATTAAGCTGGTGATGTATTAACTGTGCCATGGCTGTGTAGGCACCTGAGCTGGCTTTATGTGAGTAGTTTGGCTGCTTTGCTGTTTTGAGTGCTGTGATCAACAGAATTGCCAACTTTTGCACCTGAATTAAGCTATCATTTTATGCTCTCATAGCCTAATACAGGTCATGATATTTTCAACACTTGATTAAACAGGGTCCAATATGTAAATAGTTTTCTTATAAACAAGTACTCATATTTAATACTTGAAACACCAAAGTAGAGGTCGATGCATATAAATTATATACAGTTTTAATAAGGACTCCTCATTAACAGTCAACACCAATATGTGAAAGAATAAATGCACGAATATATTTTTAATATTATTTGCTGATATGGTATAAATTGTGCTGATTGGATAAAAAGTTACTCATTTCAAATACAGCAATAAGTGTTTAAAAAATCATTCTCAAATGATATTTCTTTTGTATTTTTTTAGTTTCCACATTATACTTTAGACCTACAGTTATTATATATTGAGTTATTAGTGATCTGTTCTACTTTTTCTACTAAATGCTTCTGATTTTTTTTTTAATTCCTTTTTTTTTTTTTTTTCAAGAAAGCAGAAAGAATATCATTCAATAAGGGACATACATTTCAAACATTTCCACATACATTTCAAAAATCAGTGACACTCAAACATATTTTTTTAACCTGATCAAATGTTAGAAAAGTCATTGTATGCCTTTTTATAAAAGAGAAATAGTAATTTAAATAAATTTTATAAGCAAAAATGGATTATTTTTATCCCTTTCACCTTCACCTTGGTTTTCTTATTTGAGATCAGAGCTCAAATCACATTTACTCTTCTAAGAGCATAACTAAGTATAATAGTCCCTGTACCTAAGCAGACTTCTGTAAAACCTAGTCAGTGTTCCAAATTGATACTAAAACTTTCAGTGAGTTTAGTGACCTGTCTTTTGATGCTGCTGTAATGTTGTTGCTGAGTTCCTCTTTCCTCTCGTATTTAATGCAGCCCAGGATTTTAACTTGGCAATTTTCGGAGCTGTAATGAAGATTATGTCCATTATTTCATTCATTCACCCAAACTCATTTAATTTAAACAAGAATGACCATCAAATATAGCAGTACTTTCATAAAATGGAACACTAAATATTATTAAATTATGCTTTTTTTTATCTCTCAGTTACTATATTCATTATCAACCATACTGATTTGTGACATTAGAAATTTGTGTCCAGTGGCAATTACTCTTGCTGTGCCTAATCAAGCTGTCTCAAATATAACTAGGAAACTTAGGATGCCCCATCTTAGTGAAACCTTTGCCTTTTTTTCTGAGGAGAAACTATATCACTCAAAATATTAATTCAAGAATAATTTGTATATGCATGATCAGTATTTAAAGTTCTTTACTTACTATTCAAGTATTCAAATGAAATAAAATATGGAATACAAGTTATATGCGGTGATTTTAATTAATATAAACTGCTTTTTTGTAAACAACAAGGTTGTGTAGATTTCTAACTGCTGGCTAAGCCTGAATACTTGTTTCTCCTCTTGTGCTCTCCACAGAGGAAGTGATGATATGACCTAAACAATAATAAACTAAGAAATATCCCAAAGCTTCTCTCCAAAAAATAGCAAAGAAATACAAGAAATTACTGTAAACATCTTCATAACTAGGAATGTATCTTTCACATAATTTTCTTGACAATAACAAAATCTCTGTAATACAAGCACTTTAGCCTCTGTAACACCAGGTATAACAGGTAACAAATGGTTATTTTTCCAGAAACTAAGTTGCATGCAGTAAGATTTATTTAAGGCAATGGCACTTCCCTTTGGAAATGAATTGCCAGTATTTTATGTTATACCATTGCTTTTCTTCTACTCACCACAATGAGCAATATATAGACAAATGTATGCAGCAGCAGTCTGTGTCTCTCCTTCCTTACTGTGCCTTGCTCTTGCTCTCCTATTAGCTGTAGCTGTGCATTCTTCTAGACGGAGTGTGACAGGAACTCGGTTACCTTGATAGCAGGTGCAGATGCAGCTTTAGCACTTGCTGTCTGCCTCACGTTTGTAACACCCTTGCTCCTTCCGGTCACTTGTTCCAGGGAAGGAATGACAGCAGCATTTCTGAGCTGTTCTTGTGTTTTCTCCCAGAACACTCAGAGAAAGCGGACTTCGTGATCTCCATGCTAACTACCAGCCTGCCTGCTGCCAGTTCTCCCTACTTCTGCCAGTGATGACATTCAGCTCGCTCCTCCACACAGGATACAGCACTGATTCCTCATTATGTAAGGCAGTCTAGGTCAAGTGTAGGAGAGGCACTGCTGGCCTGAGCAAGCCAGTGGAGTGTTCCCTCTGCTTCATGCTTCATGGGGTCTGGAAGCTGGATCCTGATCTTTTCGGCTACATCTTCTCAGGTAAATGCTTTTGCATGATTTAAATAGTTACTGTGCTGTTTTTCTATGCAGATAGCTGTCAGCCATGCTGTGAATTGCAGAGAGAATTTGCTAGGTGAAAACAGCTCTGTCAGCATGATTAGATTAACAGAGAAGTAGTTCTTCTAGGCGTCTCAGTTTTAAGATACTTTACAATAAATAAATAATAAATTGTGCTTGTTTAACAAACATCTTTTCTAACCTTATGGGGATTATTGTTAATTTGACTGATGAAGCAGTGAATGAAATCCATTTGCTTGAAGGTGGTGTGGGAAGGCATTATTGGATATAGCTATTAGCTCTGAGAGGTTTGCTGCAGTTCCTGGCTGTTGCATTGTTTCAGGCTTGCAAATTACAAATGTGCTTCTTTTATTAAACAAAGCAAAATGGAAAAAAAAAAAAAAAGAACATATTTAGTTTTCTTGCACTCTTTGGTTATTTTTTGAAGTAATAGTTAAATCCGAGATTCTATTTGTTATTTACCGCATGAATGCGTGAATCTATATGCTTCTGAAATATGTAAGGTGAACACTGCAGATAAAAATACATTTAGTGACTGCTCTGCAGAATGCCAGAACAGTACGTTAGCTAGATTTATATTAGAAGGTAGCTTTTTTTCATGCACCATGTAGAATTCAAAGACTTCTTTTGTATTTACATCCTACTGAAAATCAGTCCGTAACAAAACATAGAACAGTTTTGTCCTTAAAGTAATTATATGTACTGAGTATTGTCAGGTACAGGAATGTCTGAATATACTGGAATGCAGCAGAAGAGGCCCTGGAAAGTAACAGCATAACACTGGTACTGCAGTATCATGTAGGGAATTTCAAAAAGGCTAGCTTGCTTGCTAGGGACAATTACTGTGCAATAAATTGGAAAATATTTTTAATGCATTTGAGAGATTAATTAGAAAACTTTTTATGTACAGTACCTTGGACAGCAACTTTTTTATTTCCTGGTGCTGTAGAGTCTGCCTCATGGGAGTTAGCAATTTATAAAAATTAAATAATATGAATTTAAGATACATTAATGAATTCCAAAATATTGGGGAATTTATGTTAAAAATACCTGAGAGAAACTTTGGTCAGCATTGTATCAATGATTTATATTTAACAGCTTACTACCAAGAGTTCATTTAATATAATAACTTTTAAAAAGTGATGTTTGTATTGAATTATGTAAATGAGTGTCAAAACAGAAAATTAAAAATGCAAAATTATTTTCTACTGACAATATGGCATTTACAGAATTTTCATGTCTAATAGGTCACTCTAAGAATAAATATCAAGGTCCCTTAAATAAAAATAAAAGTGAATATTATTATAAGATTATGTATTAATATCAGATTAAAACTAATTTTGATGAGAAGAGTGGAAGTCCTTTAAATATGTTTTTTCCCCATCAGAAACTAGTTGTTCTTCACACTGGTCTAGAAATAACAGATAGTATTTAATTTCAACACTTGTTTGTAAGTGAGATAATTTTTTTTTTAATCATTTTCTTATCATCTTTAAAATCTCTCTTTCTCTGGAAAAGAACTGTCAAGCAGTGAGTTGCTTCTTCATCATGACCTTACCTTACCAGTTACTAAATTACTTTTTTTTTTCTTTTTAATGACAGTCATTTATATTTATGCTGCAATTTAGTAGAAATACCAGACTGAAGCCTTCATTAATTACATTGTGAAAGAAGTTAGATTCAAGAAAATGTAACTCATTTTTTGGTATCTTGAAAACACCTTTGTTGCAATGCAGTATATTACATTGTATAATATTTTGTAGATACCATTTTATACTTCAAAATATGTCTTACAAGCAAACTGTTAAAATAATAGCATAGTATAAGAACTTAGAACAAAACTGCTAGGTACTACGCAGTATTGTAATGATGTGCTTCAGATTCTTTGTTTCTTGCTGCCTGAAGTGTGCTAAAATAGTTATGCTATTATATATGAGTACATGGTGTTCCGTCCCATTTCAAGTGTGGGTGCTTGAATAATTTCCTTACAGGCTTAAGAAGTATTAATAACCTATCTATTCAATTAGAAGGGAAAAAAATATTGTTTTAAAATGTATAGTGCTTTTCTGGAAGTCTTATTTTTCTTTTTGCATCGTGGTTCATAGAAGGGCACACAGAGTATTTCTTCACACAGCAAGCTGCAGATACTTCACTAGGATACAAAGTGCTAGAATATGGTGTTTCTTATGTGTATTTATATATCCTATATTCCGGTATATCACTTTAGGTCTGAGAAATTGAACCCGAGTTGTAAGGTATGTTTTGAACCCACTACAGTGCAGGATATGAACCATTAGTGGTCAGTGCATCCTCCTGGTATTTTCCTGTGGTTTACTGGAATTGTCCAATCCATGGCTACATCAGTAGCTTGCTTTCAATAATCTATATATTCCCTCACATCACAATATGCAGCTTGAGTTTCTGACAAAGTTTTCTCTTCACTTTTCCTCACAGTACTAGTTTTCTGTCCTGCAAAGGAGTTTCTGTGTTCTCTTCATAGCCATGGAAATGTCACTAACACTGAGGAGCATGGAAGCAATATGAAAGTGTGTGAATTAAATTATTTTAGATTAATGTGTTTAACATAAACAGTGGTGAGACCAGTTTTTGTAATCCTTAACATAAGCAATGTATTGGAGCATACATTAGACTATTAGTTTCTATAAAGGCATTTATATCTCAGATTTTATCTGTCCATTTTTACTGAGTAGTTGAGATATATATTGTGATGTCGATCATATGCTAAATTAGTGCTAAATTTAAAAAGACTACAGACATCTGTGTTTTATTTTATCTCATGTAACATCTAATTGTATAGTAATATAATTCATAAGCTTTCCCAGGAAGTTTGGGCTCACAAATGCAGATCTTTCACTGTTCAGAACTGCCAACTTTTATTTGCATATAGTACATGAAAACATTCTGAATGTGACAAAAATCTACTGCTGTAGAAATGGGCTATATCTGTTCTGAAGAAACCTGTTTATAAGCTAGCAGATGTGCTCTTTTCCTTGTGCAAAAAGTTATTATTCTTTTCATTCAGAGGTTTTCCTCACTTTTAATTGCAACTGGTTGGATGCAATCTTCTGTTCTGTGTTGCTACCGTCCATGTAATTTTTCCAGGTCCTGCTTCTCCATGATGATGTTTTTCCACCCTTAACTGCTTGTATAGATCTTCTGTGACTGCAGTACAACTGCTTCACAAATTTAGAAAAAGCCTTCTGGAGGGAAGGGATGCCATTTAGAGGGGCCTTGACAGGTTTGAGAGGTGTGCCTGTGAAAACCTCATGAAGGTCAACAAGGCCAAGTGCAAGGTCCTGCACATGGGTCAAAGCAATCACAAGCACAAATCCAGGGTGGGCGATGAGTGGATTGAGAGCAGCCCTGCAGAGAAGGACTTGTGGGTATTAGTGAATTGAAAACCAACTATGAGCCAGCAATGTGCACTCACAGCCCAGAAAGCCAACCATGTTCTGGGCTGCATCAAGAGAAGTGTGGCCAGCAGGTCAAGGGAGCGGATTCTTCCCCTCTACTCTGCTCTCGGGAGACCCCACCTGGAGCACTGTGTCCAGCTCTGGGGCTCCCAAGATAAGAAGGATGTGGATCTGTTGGAGCAAGTCCAGAGGAGGGCAATGAAGATGATCAGGGGGCCAGAGCACCTGAAGACAGGCTGAGACAGTTGGGGTTATCCATCCTGGAGAAGAGAAGGATCCAGGGACACCTTGTAGCAGCCTCCCAGAACCTAATGGGGGCCTACAGGAAAGCTGGAGAGGGACTTTTTAGAAGAGGTAGTGGCTTTAAACTGAAAGAGGGTAGATTTAGATTAGATACAAGGAAGAAATTCTTTACAGTGAAGGTAGTGAGGCACTGAATCAGGCTTCCCAGAGAAGCTGTGGCTGCCACCTCCTCGGAATGGTTCAAGGCCAGGTTGGACGGGGCTTTGAGCAACTTAGTCTAATGGAAGGTGTCCCTGCCCATGGCAGTGGGGTTGGAACTAGATGTTCTTTAAGGTTCCTTCTAACCCTAACCATTCTGTGATTATCATGTTCACCTGCTTGTCCATGAAGGATCTTGGATGGCTCATTCCTTATATATTAGATGAATTCCTCCATTACATTTTTTCCACATCCACTGCACTTCACAGAATGCATTCCTAGAACTCTAGAAAGAGATACTGTAAAGAATCAAGGGAAGTTTTGTAATGTTTTGATAAATAAAATGTACCTTAGACACTGTCACTAAATATATATATATATATAAATATATATATAACTCTTAACAGTAGTCATTGTGTATGTAGACCACACTCTTCATTTTTTCTTGCATGGTTTACTGCCATGGCTGATCATCTAAGCTTCTGAGGTCGATTTTAGTGGTTTCTCTAGACTGTACAGAACTCTAGTATTTGCAGCACAAATACTGAAACAATGGTAAGCAAAAGAACTACATTCTCTTTTAGTTTGAGTGGAGTTCATTATAGGTCCCTTTCAGGAAGGGAATTGTGCTGCAGAGGATCACCGGAGAAGAACTTCCAGATTAATCCTTTCATGTGCTGAAGAAAACCAGAATCTCCCAGTGCTTGGTGATCACTAAGGGTGGGCAGTTTTTGGCACTTGAGCCAAAAACTTACTGGGCTATTCTTCACAAGTGCTTTTAAACATTTGCACAGTATTCCTGAGGCAGAGCCAAGAGTAGGACTGGTCAACATTTGTATGAGGGCAAGTGAACCATAAATCTCCATTAATGCAAAGTTGCCCGGTCTGCAGAATCTGAAATCTGCAAGATTGTAAGCTTAGAACTACAATGAAAGTTTGCCTGACAACTGTGTCTCTGCTGTGCAGGGGAAGGAGGTACTCTCATTCAGTGTTCTTGGATGGTTGCTTCAGCCCATGCCCATTAAAATGATTGCTCCTTAGGCATTCAGGATGGGAAAAGTTGTCACCATACCTGCAGAAAGAAGTGGTATAAACTTTGCAAAGTAAATGCAACGAGCATCCTAGACTTGCTTTTTTTTTTTTTTTTTTTTTTTTTTAAATTATTTTAATAGATATTAGCAGTGTCCTATTTGTTTAGAGATGGTAAAGAAGGCAAGTTGGATTTTTAAGGGGGAGAGGGAAGGAAGACCATGTTTTATTTACTAACTTTCTATTTATCTTAGAGTTGGAGTAGCTGTGATAGAGAAATCTGTACCTTTTTTTTTCTGCAATTGTGGGACAATGTATAAGTTTAAAACATTAAAAATATAAGAATTCAAGGGATTAAGCTCTTTAGCAGTTGGAAAGAATTTGCTCTTGTTTTGATAAAATCTTCTCTCTCAAACCACTTATCAGATGACAGTCTGGTTCAAGGAGTCACCAAAGGAACTTGTTAAGATAACCACAAACCCTATCAGTTTTCCTGACACTGTAATCTGGTGGAGCTGAATTTGAGCACCTGGTTACATCACTGTGACCAGTGAAAACTGAGCCATGAAAAATGCTGATGAAAAAGAAGCTTTCAGTATTCTCTTAATGATATTTGGAGATTTCTTAAAGTCAGTGGTTATATTAAGCATTCTATGATGAACCTCTGCTTATGCTTAAAGGACATTTTAGGACTACTGAAAACTGTATGCTTAGATAATACATTGAAATTACATTTAAGCTGGAGGGAAATGTCATGCATTCAGTGTTATGTTCAGGACTAAAACTGTAGGCACCTGAGGTATCACAAAGATTTTTACTACCTGGTCTTTATTGTCTAAGATATCCAGACTTCTAGTTTATTGTTTTCTTGTGTGGTGTTTATTTAATTTCAAAATGTAACATTTTAAAGGAGCTATGCCTGTAAAATGTCACAGATGCCCAGACTGTAGCAAAGACTGCAGGAACTCATATTAAAACTTCAAGCTGAGGAGTAAATATTCTGCCTTTTAACCTAGTGGTAAATCTGTATTTATAAACACCAGGCAATTTATCATTTCCAGAAACATCCTCCATGAACAGAAAGATTTCTGGGAATGATCAATTTACATCAGCAATAGTATCTGAACATCTGTTTAGTATTTAAAATTTTAAGGATGATTCTGAGTCATGGGTGTTACTATAGCACTACAAAGTAATTCATCACCTGCAAATGCTCTTCATGACCCTGAAGAACTTTGCAAATCTATGAAAAGAAGATAACTCAGCTTTTACAATTATACCCAAATAAGAACCAAACATTTGAAGAGCATGTTACCAGCTGATAATAGTAAGATAATGGTTTATAGATCATTATACCTCAAGGTTGTAGAATTTAACTGCATTTGGATAGTAGGGACATGCCTGAGCTATTTATCAGTCTACCAGCAGTGCCAGCAGAAAAGTTAAATTCAGAACTGGTTATCATGGCAGCAGTGAAACATAAAAGCATGTGAACTCTTTCTAAATCAGTGCTCAGCCCATTCAAAGGAGACAGGTTGCATGGTTGTATCCAGCTTGGTCTTGCCCTTTGTATGTTAGCATTTGAGTATCAATATTTGGATATATTATGGTGTGTTTTACCTAAATATTTAGTGCTATAAGGTTGATTTCTACATTCTTTTAATCACTCTAATATTTGCAGAGAAAATATTTAAAAATTTATGAGATTAGATTTCATTGTTAAAAAAATTGTTCATAACATTCTGTATTGATAAAAGCTTGAACATTAGGTATTATATGGAGAGATTCCAAGTGCTTGTTGTGAAGGGTCAGGCATGTTGGGCCACCACTGGGAGGTGGAGAAATTCAGCTTCACATAGCTTGGATTCAAGCCAAATTTAAGCAATCAAAAACTCACGATGTAAAAATATTTTAAAATAACATATCAGAACAATACTGGGATTGAATCTAGGGGATCAAATTCATTATAGGTGCCTGGGGTCACTGAATCACAGGTTAACATTCTAGGTATCTGTTATGTCATAGATGACAACATTATTGCATACAGGTATTAATTAGGTTTATTTTCTTCTGCCTTCACATGTCAAAATTATATTACACAGTGAAAGAAATGCAGTATTATTTTTGGCCCTTCTTCTGTGCACCTCTCACCTTCCTGGTTACTGGCCCCTTCCCTTCCTACCATACTGCACTGTGCTCGCCGCCCCAGCATGGCTGAAATTAGAGTTTCCAAAAATGTTTGCTGATGGCCATCCCAGTTACACTTTTTTTTTTTTTTTCTTTTTTTGTCAAGAAAGCAAAATGAGAGATACATAATGCTGTCTGATTTTGGCTCTAACTGAGGCTGATCCAATGCAGCTGGAGTTTGTTGTATTAGCAGTCTGAATTTTAAAAAAGAACATTTTTTGTCTAGGTTCCAGATTTGGCTGTGCAGCTGTCATTTGAATACACGGGAATGTATAGATCTGTCGTGGCAGTCAGGTACCAGGCTGCATGATTGGCAATGCAGTCTGCAATAGATGGACACATCATATGACTCTGGCACAGGAATCCATCTTTTTTTTTTTTTTTTTTTTTTTTTTTTTGTGTTTGAACCCATGACTGAAGATGTTGAATCTACCACCACTACACAGTGGGAAGGTGTAAAATGAGACAGATGACAGGCAGCAGTTAGTTGTGGCATGCCAAGGGCTGACCTGAAAAGGTTTCTGATGTTCTCATAATGGACCACGCTACCCAAACTATTTCCTTCTCACATTTCAGAGACAAATAATTAAAAGAAATGAAAAATTATGGAAATTTTTACTCATTTAATATGGGATAAAGAAATCTACTTCTCAGCACAACCCCTGCCCTTTGTTCATTGCTGAAGAAAAATAGGGCTGTGGATTTTCAGGCTCATTTAAGTCAGAAAATATTTTAAAAAGCAATCTTTTACAGCTGGTTTATTTCTTTTACCAGCAGATGGGGCTGTCCTTTAAGGTGATGGCTCGGTATCTTTTATTTTTTTTCCTCACCTTTTTTTCTTTTTTCACCCTCCTCTCAGTCTCTCTTCATCGTCCTCCATCCCCTCTCTTTTTTCTTTTCTTTATTTTTTTTTTTCTTTTGCCTGCTATTTGCTGATTTGTATTAGGTACCATAGAGTCAGCATCAGAACAGGAAGCTGAGAATGAAGCAGAGCAAATACTGCAGAGGTGATTTTTTTTTTTCCTTCCCTATGAGAATGCAGCAATTTATAAATACTTGGTAATATTCTAGAACTGTGAATCTGAACAAGTTTATTAGAGGGCATTTCAAGCATCTCATCATCACCATCTCTTGGGATTTTTATTTTTGTTTTACTCATAATGCATTTGAAATTCATGTTTTATGAGGTAAGCCAGCAGGATGTTAAATCCTAGACCTTAGTTCACTTATGTGAGCTGTCTGCATGGGGCTCTCCCCACTGTCCTTCTTTTTTTCTTCTTTTTTTTTTTTTTTTTTTTCTGAATGCTTGCTTTATAGTTATTGTTAAGTGTATAATTAAGAAGAAAATCCAATTTTGGTGTTTTTAAAAATGTTTCCAAAGCTGCAGTCAGGTCTTTTTGTCAGCACAGCATTTTGTTACAAGGCGGATTTCACTGACCTTATATTTTTGGGTGTTTGCCAGTTTGTTGGGGGTGTGTGTGTGTTTAAGTTATTATGAAAAGATTTTTCCCCTGAACTGTTTAGAATTTAACAGAGGTCATGTTGTTCCTTCATATGGAAAACATATTAAGCTCTAAAGCAAGCAACGGTGTAGTCAAAATCACAGCATTGCAGGAGTGTACAGTTTTCCTTCCCATAGAGAAGCTCTGCTTTAAGGCTAAATGCTTCACAGAGATGTTTGAGGTTTACTGAAGGAAGAAAGGTCTCCCTCCACTTTTTTCTATCTCCCTCTGCCCTTTCTAATCAGTACACTGCTAGAAGCTCTTACTTTCATTTACATACTGATAAGGACTGGATGTTAAATTGTAGATATAACTCGGTTCATAATCTGAACCGTCTTGCTTTTCCAAACAGCACAAGAAATTTTCCAGGTGGACAGCAAGCTCTTTCAGCATCTTTTCTTAAATGGATTTCTTCTCTGCTGCTTGTCTGAGGTATGTGCTTAAAGACTTCCACTGAACTAATTTACTTGGGATTGGGCTGTCCGTTCAATTTGTCTGCCCTTCATCCCCACTTTGAAAAAGTTGTTGTTTGTTCTGCAGTATTTGAAAATGTATTGGTGTTTTCTATCACTGTTGAAAACATGTTCAATTGTACTTATTCCAGAAATGCTTATTTTGTGGTTATGGTGTCAAACTCCTGAGCTTTCTTGGCTGATACTAGTGTTGCATTCTTGAAGTGCACCTAGATTTCTATTGTGCTTTTCAGGCTTGACATATGTGTTAATATAAAGTACAAAGGAAAAAAGGCTGTGCTAGAAACAACTCTGAGAATCTAATGTGAAACAATAACAGGATGATTGCTGTCAAAGACTGACACACCGTTAGTTTATTCTTTGAGACTGGTCTGTGTGATCCTGAATATTTGCCGAAGTATTTAGACACAGGAAAGCAAGTTAGAGACAGGCAGCCTTAAACTGATTGTCCTCAGTTTGCCAGGTATTCACAGAAAATTTTCATTATTTTAAAGAAAGTATCAATGATGGGAGGAGGTGAAGTAAGAGCTTTAGCCTGCTTCAAGGGATGTCAAGTTTTTGTTGCATAAGACATAGTATAATCAGTACAATTCTAGGGAAATTCTAGGAAAACAGCAGCAGTTTGCATAGTATCTTGTATGATAAATAAATAATATAAAAATCTGACTATAATGATTTATAGGAAAATTATATAGATGAATGTATATGATGGAGTCATCTATTCTATCAGCTTTTTGAAACAATATATCAGAGGCAAGGGTAGTTTATTACTGATCACTGAAATCTACATTGAAATTGCCATATTATAACCTAAACTTGCTTTGAAGTTTCAGACGTTGTAAATGTCAACAACTGAGGTAGTTGGGAAGCTAAAATAAATGACAGGTTGTTACTTTCTTAAAATGAATGTGGCCTTGAACTAGAAAATGTTGAGTGTCTATGAATATAACTCTTCTCTTCCATGTACTATCCCAGTGGCAAGCACTTTAAAGGACAGCTGGTTGTTGACTTAAGGATGGCATCGTTGCTACTATCCATATTACACTACATCCTTCCAACATGTAAATTCTACTGTAAGAGTTTTGTACATTAATGACAGAAGCAGGTATATTTAGGTAACAAACCCACAAATCTTAGCATTGGGCTTTGTCCCTTAAATAGTATTTTACTGATCCTTTTCTATAATTTTTGACTACCTTAAATTGAAGAACTGATATTAAAGAAGTGTGAAGTTTTGAAGTTTTCTCTGCTCTTGGTTATAAGAAATATTCTGGCAGTAATCAGGAGAACTGCATACCTCTCCAAATTTCTTTTGAAAAGGAGCAGAGAGCTTGCTCTAATTTATGGGGGTGTGTGTATATATTTAGAACTGTGATATTCTTCTGGATTAATGTTTTTTCTTTCATTTTATTAATTTTCTGAACTCCACTTCCAGCTTGCCTCTGAAAAAGCATATTTGGTCTTTTGGGCTAAACGTCATGAAGAGATTTGTTGATTCTCTTCCAATAACAGGAACATATTCTACCTTCTTTTTCTCTATTGAAGACAGCTGATCTTTATAGGAGGCAGTGGGATTCCACAAGAGACATGTATTTGACCTGTAGACTTTCTGTTGATGCTAAAATGAATTCAGCAAAAGACAAACTAAATTATAAATTGAACAATATATATTCACACTTGTAAACTGAGAAAAACAATATTATGTCATCAGTAAGACGCACTAGATAAGAATACCAGTAAGCTTTTTTAGCATAATGTTTTAGAGCAATTAAGAGATCAGGTTGCTCAACGAGAAAAAAATCCTAAAGCTGAAATATTCTAAAATGGAAAAAAAAAAATTACCTTTGAGTAAATTTTAACCATTAAAAGCTACAATTGATGTTTCTGACTGAACCTAATACTGTAGGGAGATGGGGAGTATCATGCAAGTTCTCCAAATATTTTTTCTAAAGCTCAGCAGTTCTGGTACATGTTACTTCCATTTTTCTAGTGGTAGGTTTGTTCTTTGTAGATTCCTATCCATGAAAACATATAAAAGTTGGATGGAAACAACTGAAAGTTTGGTATGGTTGCAGCAATTAGTTAAATGACAAATGTAGACTCAGAAATTGTAACCCTTTCTTGTAGTGGGCTTAGTCCAATTTCTGTAAAATGTACTCATCTGTTTATTCAATATTAGTAATATTTATTTAAAGAATGACTGTGATGTCTTACTGAATACCTGGGTCTTCAGTGTTTTCAGGCTTCTTATCTTTTACTGATTATTGTGTCATCTTTTCTGTCTCTTCCATTTCCACCAGCGTGTGTGGTTCTAGGCCTCCTTTCATGCTCTTCTAATGTGCTAGTTCTGACAAAATGAACTTATTTTGTTTTGCACTTATTACCAAAATTCCTGGTAGCACCCTTCCCTGCCATATTAAATAGCACTTGAAAATCCACATTTCTGATTCAGCTACCGTGCGATTTATTCTTTTAATTTCTCAGCCCCAGAATCTCTCCCTCCTTCCTCTTTGTGATAGGAAATTCTCATTATGTTTCTTTTTCTGAACGCAAGTTTCCACTGCTTTCTGTCTCAGCAGTATCCAGAGCATCTCTGACCATCTTTCTAGTGCTCTATTTTAAAGTGCTTCCATCCTTCTTTTATTCATTTTCTCTTTTTTCACAAGTTTCTGAGAAAAAAGGACATAACCCCTCTATTTTTGGTCTCAAACATCCATCTCGGTTTGTGCTTTCAAGTTTTATCCCATCTCATGCCCTCTATTTTGGTGATTTTCTTCAATACCTTGTAAACATGCAGAACAATCTTTTTCATCTTTCTCCTACTCCTTAAGCAGATTTTCTAATTTACTTCCAGCACTGGCTTTTTAAAATCACTTCATGATACAATTCAAAACACTGAAGATCATCCTGCTGGTAAAATAAAACAAAACCAAACAAAAACCCAAATCCTGTCAAGGTCAGAAGGAAAAATTTAGGAATAAATGTAACGGCTTGTGTGAATCAAATATGCTTTATTTAATAGTGGTGTTGGTCAAAGATGACAAAACTAAGCAACAACTATAGTACTTTTAAAGTGAAGTAATATGTATGAAGTTTTCAAATGCTTGGTTATTTAAGTGCATTTTAAGTCAGTGACTTGACTATGTTCCAGATGTATTTGCCTGCAATGCTTCCATCCTCTCATCTTTCCCTGGACTCCGTTTTCTACTTGCTCTTTAATGGTGTTTCCTTCAGAGTGAGCTCTTTCATTTTCTTTAATGATTTAAAGTGTCTAATCATTTTGTTTTAAATTATTGTTGAATTTATTTGCCAAGAGGAAATAGTGATTTCTAAGGTGGGTGATAGGTGCTCCTCCTAGGAACGTCTCAGCAGGGCTTTTTCAATAGCTTTGCAGGATTCCTGAAGTAGGTCTACAGATGAAAACAGAAGGGCAGAGGCTGGTGGATAATTAGAAGCTGAATACTGAAGATGAATTCTGTTCTTTACATCCATAGTGAGTGGGACGGAAAGACTGAAGGAGTGGATTTATCCAGATTAGATATGGAGAGAAACTTGCTAATGGAAAGGATAGTGAAGGGCTGCAACAGAGTGTCAGAAGAATCTGTGAAATTTGTCATGGTCTGTAGAAAGAGGTTAGATGAAACATCTGTTGGGAAATAGGTATAGCAATCTTGTTTTGGGCAGAGAGATGAACTAGGTGGCTTCTGATCGTTGTTTCCAACCCAATTTTTCTGTGAGTCTACAAAAGAAAGTAGATATCTGAGGTATATCAGACTTAAAGAAAAGTATATGTTAATTATATAGAGTCCAAAATAGACCTCCTAAAAGCTATCTTTATTAGGCTTTTCTTAAAATGTATATGCATTCCCTCAAAACATTTATTCTATAGTATATACACTCTTCAAAACCTCAAATATATCTGGAAAGAACTGAAAATACATCCTAAAAAGTTATTGAATTTCTTTATGTTTCTTTTAGATTAAATAGGCCTTACTGGTTAACCATAGCAAGTATGTGAATAAAAGGGGTGGGAAAAGGATATTTGGAAAATCTGATCATTTTTTGTTCATTGTCAGGAGAATACTGTGGATTTAAATAAAAATACTTTTAAATTGATAGTAGAAAGAACTAAGACACTTCAAAAGATAATTAAATACAGTGAGTGTTCCAGAGCCATTTCAATGTTTTGTATTTTATATTAATGTTCAGTATTTTTCAGCTGACAAACCCAATCTGATACATTTATTTTCTGAAATGAAAGCCTAAATAATGCCAGATACATCACCTGAAATGTGCAGTGATGGATAGTGACAGATAACTTTTCAGAGTTCCATACTGGCTACATTAACAATGCTTAATTGAAAAAGAAGTTATCAAAAAAATTTTTTTTTAATTTTTTTCTTAAACATTAACCACGTGATCCAAATGTTATCTAATAACCTCATGTCTGAGCATTTTTTCCTTTAGCTTAAGTTTTCTCCTTACATGCATACTGGGGGAGATAGAACAGAAGGGATGAGCCTTTACTATGTTTTCAGGACTTCATGCTGTCTCAAAATAAAATTTATTACAAATCTACTACTCTAAACTAATAAAATATTATATCTGAAACAAAAATTTGCACTCCAAGTAAAATTATCTATGTATTACAATAAAATTTTTCTTAGTTGTTTTGGCTCCATCTGTGTGAAGATTAACTGTCATTGAGATACCCTGTGTCTGCAGAGGGTCTTCTCTTACAAACCTGGTAGCTGTGTGCACCCTGTCAACAGGGTGTGCCTTCTGATGTGAGCTGACTCTTGAGTCATGTCTCCAAACTCCTTGGGAAACTAACTAAAACAAGTGAACATTGGTACAGGGTCAGGTCTTTTTAACAAGATTGGTGATTGTGTCCTCAGATCCAGGAGTATTTCTTACCATTGATTAATGCATTGGTTTCTAAGCTACAGATCAAACAAAACAAATATCGA